ATGTGCTTCCTATTTCTATTCTTATGATCATTGCAATGTTCGTTTGTGATTGTAAATAATCAGAAAAATTATGAATCTTGAAATGATCTAGAATGAGTCATTAAATAATACTACTTTTAATAATGTTCGCTATCCCCCTGTTACTAGTACGTGCAGTACGAATCGTGACAAGTTTCTCTTCGAGATGTCCGAAACGAGCAGTTCCTGTTACGCGGAGATCTAGTAATATTGTTGAGATCTGCGCTCCACCTACCGCCTCAATTCGCCCTTGCCCACTGAGAACAAATTGCCAAAGCCACTTCCTTTACCACCACCCCAAGCGGCCCCATCACCGCCGCTTTCCGTACCTTCAACACTGTCACTGCTGTGGGCCACCACCGATCCCACTCCCACCAAACTCCCTGCACCACTAACTTCACCACTAACTTCACTACACCCACCATCATCACTCCACCGTCGTCGTCGTCGTCGTCACCACCACCACCATAACCGCAACCACAACCACCACTCTTCCTCCCCCGCCACTCCACCACCAACACTACCACAACCACCACCACTCCTCCCCCACCGCTCCACCACCACCACCTTCACTTTTACCACCAATCCTCCTCCTCCTTCTCCACTACCGCTACCACCTCTCCTTCACAACCACTCCACCACCATCCCAGCACCCCTGCCTCCTCCATCGTCAAAACCATACAACCACCGCCACCTGAATCATCACCGCCACCACAATTACCGCAATCACCACCACAATCATAGCTTCTATTAGTCCCGCCTCAATCATCAAAGCACGAACACCACCTTTACATCCACCCCTACCACCAACATTAGTAACATCTGCATATGTCTACTACTGATGCCATCAGCGAACACCATATTTCTTCCATCACTCACCACTGGTTATCATGACCACCACCATATCCGCCGACGTCTCCCGTACAATCACCCCACCACCTCACTCATAGCACCTACCACCATAGCAAGGGCCATTGCCTTTATATTGCCCATCACCGTCAAGTCCGTCACTGTTCTCACTGCCACCTCCGCCGCTTGTTAACTCCAACGCCCCTTTTTCTACAGCAGTGTCCGCCGTCAAACAGCACTTCCCCAGCAACGCTGACGCCGTCCCCGCGCGTGCCCACCACCGCTGCCACTTGTCCTCGGGGGCCATTACTGCAGCGCTCGTGGCCACGCGCTGGAGAGCGCAGAGCGCATGCAGACTGCCCGCAGAGTAGGTCGCATGAAGCCAAAGGCCACGGGCTAACGAGAGTGAGACGTCTATTGGCCTTTA